TTGTGATTGATGAGCTGTCAGTCAGTCTGTGGGGGTAGGAAGAGGGAGAACAGATGAGGACACATTTCACAGCCCCAACAATTACTGGAAATTGGTATGCAGAACAGATAAAGAGTACAATGTCCAAGTGCAAACGCATTGGGCTGAATGGCCTCCTTCTGGGCTGTACCAAGTTTGTAATTCTAATGATAAAGGAAATCACATCCTGCTGTATAGAGTATCAGGATAAAAATATCATGTAGAAATGGAGAAATGGACAGACCATCTTATTTTAAAAAAAACTGCTCCTGTCAGTCAGTGTGGGCTGTTTCCTTTTTTAGGGTTCATTGGTATCACTGAGACAATTAGTTTCATTTTGCACTGGGATATTGTGTTTTCTTCATTTAGAGAGTTTTATTCTGCATCTGACTGTCCATGCTGCATTCTCCATTTGTCAGGCTTTGGTACAGAAGGTGCATTTGCCTTTCACACGATTTAATTGTTGTGTCTTTGTACCGGACATATATTTATCAAAAGATTATCTTAGTCCTAAATTAAAACCCAAAGAACTGTGGATGCTGAAAATCAGAAACAAAAACAGAAGTTGCTAGATACACTCAGAAGGTCTGGCAGCATCTGTGATGCAAAATCAGAGTTAACGTTTCAGGCCCGTTGACACTTCCTCAGTTCTGAGCAAAGGTCACCGGATCAGAAATGTTAACTCTGATTTCTCTTCACAGATGCTGCCAGACCTGCTGAGCTTTTCTGGAATCTTCTGTTTATTATTTTTGTCCTCTTCAGTCACTGATAACATCAAAAGTTCCTTCTGTGTCTGTACTCATTATCTACTTCATATATGGTCATTGTAACTATGTAACAGCTTGATCGATTTGTATACCTCGACTGTAACTTTAAAAATGCCCTTACTTAACGTGCATTCAATGCGGTTATTGAGTGTATATTTGTGATGAAGATGCAATCTATCCCTCATCAAATGCTGTGAATGGGCTTTCAAAATGAACTTTCCTGGAACTGTACTAATTTACAGAGAAAAGGCATAATACATTTATATTTTATTGGTGGTGTTTGACCCTTGGATTGAATGTCTATCTCTGGAAATTGAGCTCGATGCAAGTCTTACTCAATCAGCTCTGTAACTGAGGAAAGGACATTCTCCACTCTGACAATGGTAACATACCTGCTGTTTGTTTGGAGCAGATGGTCACATTTGGTGCTGTACCAAGGAAATATTGTATTATCTTGGCCCATCAAATATTTGCCTGGAAGAAGACAGAAGACAATTCTCCTATAAATCAACATCCAACGAGTTTGAAAATATCAAAACTGATCAATGCAAAATTTAGTTATTACTCATGGTAATTCCTTGTTTTAAAGCAAACAATTAAAGCAAACAGGAATACAGAGTACTGGGCTAATGGTAAGATTCTTGGTAGTGTCGATGAGCAGAAAGATCTCGGTGTCCATGTGCATAGATCACTGAAAGTTGCCACCCAGGTTGATAGCATTGTTAAAAAGGCGTATGGTGTGTTAGGTTTTATTGGTAGAGGGATTGCGTTTCGGAGCCATGAGGTCATGTTGCAGCTGTACAAAACTCTGGTGCGGCCACA